TTAATTATAAGCATTTTAAGGAGAACAAGATTTGGCTGAAATTCAATTTATGATTTCAATTTTGATTGAACGTTTTAGTTCTTAATTGTAGCCTCAGAATACAAAGATTTAATTGGAAAAAGAGGCCCTCAATTGTGTTAATATTATCCATGATCGTAACTTAAAAACACTTATCTTTCTCTTCCTTGATTTCTATGTTTATTATGATTAGAGTTTGGATAAAGCAATTTAACATTTATCATTTCACACACACTCAAGAAATCATTTTTGATACAAATAGATCCCATTTTACTCCTAAAATATGCTATGAATGAAATTTATGTGAACTTCTTGGGAATTATGTTTGTTATTTAAATTTGGAAGTGTTCTTGAATTGATTACATTAGTTAGCCTCTACATCCATGTGTTTTGAAACTAAGCTAAGTTTGTCTGAAATGTGAGAACAATGTACAATCCGTCATTAAATTGCACATTCTGCTAAATCCAGTTACATATTTTCTTTTCAAATACAAAAAGTTTAATTGCAATGTTACAAAGATTGGGAGGAATTCGAACTTTTGTATTTACAAATAGAGTGTATTTATGAGGAAAATTTAACGTTAGTTTTGCACTTACTAGTTAAAGTAGCTCTTGAATATTACTTATTTACTTAGAGGTGAAAAGTAGATTTCCTGGCAGTTCAGTTCAGTGGCACCAGTTCTCCGCAGTAATTATCGGTAGAAAGGAGAATCTCGACAAATGAACTGTCGAGACTCGACAATTGAGATCAATTTTTCTCGACAAATGATAGTTCCACATGTCGAACATTGGTTCCTCCGAACGTAATATGTGCGTTTCGCATTAACATGTACGAAATATTGTGAACCACAATTTTCAATTTTGTTTCTATAGATTTGTAATATATTGTTTCATGTTTTATGATTTTCGTATTACATGATATTCGTTTTATCTCGCAACTCGTCTTCGTATTATTTAGTTAAATTGATTTCTTTATTTGGATGACATTCCCAGGGACATTGTTGCTCCACGGTTTGACGCGGAGGCATTGGGCAGGGTAGGTCATGACCATTCGTCTACGGGGGCAGCCGACGAAGATAAGTCCAGTCTAGGTTCCAAGAATGAGAGGTCTGATACGAATGGCCACAAAGGGTCGACCACTAGTGATTGTGACCAGTCCAGTTCTGATGATAGTGGAGACGACGAAGATGACGAATACATGCCGTACGCGCCAAGACATACTTCTCACGAGAGTGCACCGTCCACATCTCGATGACAAAATGTATTTTCTGGAACAAGACTGATGGGAGCAGATCATGTGTTGACGTACTATGAATGTGTCCATATTTGACAGTGCACTTGCATTATCTCCTGTGATATTTTTTGTTCTTTTCACACAGTTCATTAATTTTTTCACTTTGAAAACTAATTTGCTTATGAATTTTCGTTTAGGCTAGCCAGTTTCCTGTTGTTAGGAAGAACGACTTTCTTTGTTCTGACTAGAATGGTAGATCTCAAATTGGGGCTTCGCACAGAATAACATTTTATTGAAAACATTCATGTATAATCTTCATCTCGGTTCCTTCAATTTCACGTACTGTAAACTTGGGAATTGTGTAAGAATAGCAGGAAAATTAAATGTACTTATTTCAAATGTAGATTTGGGGCCTATGGATCCATAAATTGTGACTTAAATGTTTTTTATGTGTATGGAAAAATGTTGCCAATGTTTTCTAATGTTATCCATGTTGTCTAATATTATCCATGTTGTCTTGAATAATCCTGATGAATAAGTGCCAAGTACTTTTGTATTTACTTTTGTCAGAGATGAATTTGGTAACGTTCTATACCAAAGAGTCAGTAACAACATATCCCTTATATCTCGTATGTGCAGTTAAACATTTTGCATATTCCGTGCCAACTGTCAAGAACGACATAAACAATATGTCAGGTACGACAAATGAACTGTCGGGATATTATGCAGTATTATGTGTAGGATCCGTATTTTGGTTTTGTACAAATAACTAAGTGTAGTTATTTTGTATTTACTTTTGTGAGGGATGAATTTGGCAATAGTCTTTACAAAAGAGTCAACAACAGCATGTCCATTATGCCTCATGTGTAGTTACATTTGTGTCAGTGCCAACCGTCGAGAATGACAAAAACAATCTATCGGGAACGACAGATTAACTGTCGGGATGTTATGCAGTATTATGGCAATGGATCTGTATTTTGGTTGTGAACTTCAACATGTCTTCTACTGTCTGCAAACTATAATGGTATGATAATAATAATGGAAGTTGAAAATAATAATACAAGTTCAAAATGATAATATACGAACATACGAGCATAACGTCAGCAAACGATAATGAAAATAAAATGATAACATAACTTCAGATTGTACAATGCCAAGGGAAACATTTAACATACTACTTCCGGAGATAAAGCTTGCTTACGTCGGTTGTGCTACAGTGGGGTGCGAACATGTAGTCCAGTTATGACCAACTTGATGACTTATGGTTGACGGTTCGTTTTGATTATTACAAACAAAATTGCATTTATCGTTAACAAATTGATTTCAAATGTATTTAGCGATTATTGAAAACAAATAGAATTGACGACACGAAAATTCGAGACGATAGCGATTTGCATACGACGATCGATTGGAATTTAAAGATTTGCAAAAGATACAAATCAAGATACAAGTCAAAAGAACGACAAAGTCAAGACGATTAAATATTGTACAATAATATGTAAAGGTAAAACATTTCAAGTTTTGGTTTTATCGATGTGCGTTGCGACGGAAATCTAAGGTACATGTGTGCATATTGTTGAATTTACAGATCATAAAGACTGCAGAATTTTTCACAGTTGAAGCACGTAGCATCCACATGTAATTATTGTCAGCGCATACAATAGTTAACATTTTCATGCTTGATCTACTGACCTTAAATTGGAACTTATCTTGCAAAGCAAGTATACGAATTCTCGAGTACAACTCTTTCTTGAAGAAGAATATTTGCCTTTCGGCAAGATCGGATGTATTTACTGTTGTAATCCATTCATATCTATCCGAAGTCTTGGAA